TGGGGGTTCTAACCAGGGGCAGGTCTGAGTATGGGGGTTCACAGGTCGGGGGTCTGAGTTGTGGGGGTTCAGGCCGGGGGGCAGGTCTGGGTGTGGGGGTTCACAGGCCGGGGGTCTGAGCTGGGGGGTTCAGGCCGGGGGCAGGTCTGGGTGTGGGGGTTCACAGGCCGGGGGTCTGAGCTGGGGGGTTCAGGCCGGGGGCAGGTCTGGGTGTGGGGGTTCACAGGCCGGGGGTCTGAGCTGGGGGGTTCAGGCCGGGGGCAGGTCTGGGTGTGGGGGTTCACAGGCCGGGGGGTCTGAGTTGGGGGGTTCAGGCCGGGGGCAGGTCTGGGTGTGGGGGTCCACAGGCCGGGGGTCTGAGTTGGGGGGGTTCAGGCCGGGGGCAGGTCTGGGTGTGGGGGTCCACAGGCCGGGGGTCTGAGTTGGGGGGGTTCAGGCCGGGGGCAGGTCTGGGTGTGGGGGTCCACAGGCCGGGGGTCTGAGTTGGGAGGTTCAGGCCGGGGGCAGGTCTGGGTGTGGGTCCATGTGCCCCCTGAGATGTTGAGCCGTTGCCTGCAGGGAGTGTGGCAGTGGCACCGTCAGAGCCGCTGGAGGAAGCTGGGGGGGTCCTGGAGGGGGTGGGCGGGGACCCACCCCTCACCCCCGACCTGGAGAGCGCCGAGCTGAGTCCCATCCTGCCCTTCCTGTTCCTGGGCAACGAGCGCGACGCGCAGGACCTGGAGCGGATGCTGAGTCTCAACGTGGGCCACGTGCTGAACGTCACCACCCACCTGCCCCTCTACCACGCACAGAGCGGGCACCTGCGCTACAAGCGCCTGCCTGCCACGGACAACAGCCGCCAGGACCTGCGCCAGTACTTCGAGGAGGCCTTTGAGTTCATCGGTACAGGGGGCAGGAGGGTGGCCCTGGGAAGTGGGGAGGGGGGCTGGGGTAGTGTCCCCAGGAGTAGAGGGGGTTGGGGACAGGAGGCTGCACCCCTCAGAACACTGCACCCACTCCCCACCCTGAGGAGATGGGCCAGCACGTGAGGGGGTGCAGCAGGGCTGGGGGAATGCAGGGGACTGAGAGTGCAGGGCATAGTGGGGGGTTCAGAGGATTGGGTAGAAGGGTTGGGGTATGCAGGGGGTTGGGGGGCCGGGGCATAGTGGGGGTGCAGGGATTGGGTAGCAGGGTTAGGAGTTCAGGACAGAGTCAGGAGTTCAGGGAATTGGGTAGAAGGGTTGGGGTATGCAGGGGGTTGGGGGGCCGGGGCATAGTGGGGGTGCAGGGATTGGGTAGCAGGGTTAGGGGTTCAGGACAGAGTCAGGAGTTCAGGGAATTGGGTATAGGGTTGGGGTATGCAGGGGGTTGGGGGGCCTGGGCATAGTGGGGGTGCAGGGATTGGGTAGCAGGGTTAGGGGTTCAGGACAGAGTCAGGAGTTCAGGGAATTGGGTAGAAGGGTTGGGGTATGCAGGGGGTTGGGGGGCCGGGGCATAGTGGGGGTGCAGGGATTGGGTAGCAGGGTTAGGGGTTCAGGACAGAGTCAGGAGTTCAGGGAATTGGGTAGAGGGTTGGGGTATGCAGGGGTTGGGGGTGCAGAGGATATGGTAGCTAGGCTGGTGGTGCCGGGGATAATGGGGGCTGCAGGGGGTTTGGTGCAGGGCTGTGTACAGGGCTGGGCAGGTAAGAGGCACTGACCCCCCATCTCTCCCCTTCCCCCAGAGGAGGCACACCAGCGGGGGAAGGGCGTGCTGATCCACTGCCAGGCGGGCGTCTCACGCTCAGCCACCATTGTAATCGCCTACCTGATGAAGCACACGCTGATGACCATGAGCGACGCCTACAAGTACGTGAAAGGCAAACGCCCCATCATTTCGCCTAACCTCAACTTCATGGGGCAGCTGCTGGAGTTCGAGACGGATCTCAACGCAGGGGTCACGCCCCGCATCCTCACCCCCAAACTCAAGCTCACTGGGGTGGAGACCGAGGTGTAAGGGGGACCTGAGCTGGGCCAGGCCACCCATCTCAGGGCGGGGAGGGGAGGAGAGGGAAAGGGAGTGTGTGCAATAACTGGATGGACGGACGGGCTTCCAACAGGCCAGGCCTGGGGGCCAGATACCAGGGCCCCAATGCCCATCCTGCCCACTCCGTGCCCCATGTGCTGCCAGGTGTCTGTTGATAGAGGGCTGAGGAGAGGGGCCAGTTTTTACCCCAAGACTAATCTCTGCGTGTGCGTGCGGTGGGGAGGGCTGTTGCCTGCTATTTATTGGGGTGTGCGTGTATATTTTGGGGGTCCCCATGGCCTGTTGCTCCCTTGGCCTCTCTGCTCTGGATGCTGCTTTGCTGAAGTCTGCTGCAGAGAAAGGGGGGCCCTACAGGGATTTGGGGGGGACACAGGCCAGCCCCCCCCAAAACTAGCAGTTTTTTTTGAAAACTCAGGATGATCACAGACTTTCTTCCAGACTGATTCACAGCACCAACAGTAGATGGAGTTTTGGGGGCCCCCATAGCCCCCCCCCATATTCTTTGGACTCTGCTGCTCCATACCTGACCGACAACCTGTTATACTGACTGATGTCTTAAAGTGACAGTAGCACCTTTCCTGTGTACATGGGCGGGAGGGGGTCACATTGGATGGGGAGGTCTCTTCCCCCAGCCCCCAGGGTAGGAGAGAGAACCCCCCCCACACTCCCTCCAGAGCAATACAATTTAGTAAATCAGAATAGTCTTCCACTAGGGGATATTTATTTTTAAAGACTTGGGGAGGGGCTCCAAAGTGGGGGGGGCCTCCTTTGCTTTTGTACCATGCTGGTCCATTTCATGAGGCTGCTGGTTACTGTCTCTTTAAAATGCCCTCCTCTGGGGGGAGGGTGAGATTTGTGGGGGCTGGGGAGAATTATGGGGAGGGGGGCGTTTCTTATTTATCTGAGATGCAATAGGAGTTTTTGCCTTTTAACTCTTTCTTCTCCCTCCTCCCCCAAATAGGGGGGCCGCTAGAGTTAATGGTCCTGCAAAATCTGGGGGAGGGGGAATTTCTCTTCCCCCCATTTTAATGTCTTCCAGCCCTTCCCTCTTCTTTCCAGTGCTAAGTTTGGCTCCCTCCCACCACAGATGGTGCAGATATGAGGGTGGGTGGGAGTGTGGGGGAGCCAAAAATTAAGGGATAGGGCCAGTTTCTGTTGGGGGGGTGACAGCAAAGAGGGACCCCTCCCCCTGCACAGAAAGAGGCACTGCCCACAATCCCCACCTCCCTCCATATGCACGCTCATCCAGACCCCCTCTCAGGCAGCCCTGCACACATACTGCCCACAGCCCCTGTGACCTGGGCACGCCCGCCAGGAGCCATGCATGCATGGCCACAAAGTTCCCCATACATGCACCTCCCCCTGAGCCATGGACATGTGTCCCCTTGTGCCCTTATGAGGTCTCCGGTGTCCTGACACCCCGGCTGGAGCTTCAACCACAGGGATGGACCCACAGGGTCTGGCTCTTAAGGCTGGAGCCTTTCTGCTGGCTGAGCTGTAAGGCCCAGCTGTTAGCTAAGGCTGCAGCAGGGGCGAGACAGGGCCCAGCCCCCACTGGAGGAAGGCAGAGCCCCACCCAGGGCACGTAGTGGGACAGACATGTAGGGGCAGCCACGCGAGTGCATGAACCCACTCACCAAAGCCCCCCTATGCACTCACCTGCCCCGCCCCCATTACACACATGTTCACAAGCTCCCCCCCCAGAGACACCGCTCTCCCCATTCCCACAATCACATCCTGACACAACCACACCCCTGTCTGCCCCAGAGCCAGGCATGCAACCCCCCTGGCCTGCACTGGCAGCTGGCTAGGGGGCGCTGCACCGCCAGGGGCTCGCGAGCGTGCAACAATCCCTGCCCCCTCATCCCCTGGGTGGAGGCTCGTATCGGGCTCCCCCCCTTTTCCCCACAGATCTCAGAGCTTTGTATTTAAAGAGACTCTCCCATCCCCAGGCGTAGGAGCTTGGAGGGGTGGGGCTCTGCTGTTTCTCTTTGGAATTTGTCTTCATTATTTATTGAGGCCAGGAATAATTTATTAAACGTGGATTTGTTTTTGTAACAAGGCTGCCATGTGCTCAATTGGGTGGGGGTGGGGGAGGACTTGGGAGGGTGGGGATCTGCGATGTGGGGGGGCCTGGAATGGAGCAGTAGAAGAGGGTCTCCCAGGAGATCTGGGACTGGGGGGACAGGCATGGGGAGGAGAATCTGAGAGGGGGGCCAGCGCATCCACACATGGATTGGGGGCTCGCTATGGGCATTGCCCCAGACTGACCCACTGGGCATTGGGCAGCAAAGTTGTTTGGCAGACGGGGAGTGGATGGGAAACACCCCTTCCCCTTGGGGAGTGGGAGCCAAGGGTCACTCAGCAGGTGCAGGGCACCCCCTGGTCACCACCGTCCTGCAGTATGACCTCGCCTGGAGGGATGGGAGCCCCCCCAACACTTCTGCAAACAAGGGGGGCAATGGGGCAGCCCCCACAGATGCAGGATGTGCCCTGTGTGGGGCTTCGCTGAAGCTCAGCCAGGGGGAGGGTGGTTCTGCTGCTAAAGGGCTGTTAGCAAGATAGACCCCTCCTTTGGCCATGGGAGCCCCCAGCTGGGCTCCAGTTTGGAGGAGACGTGGCACAGGCCAAGCGGCCCCCGAACAAGGAGAGTACCAAGCCTGCCTGACACCCAGTGACCCCAGCCTAGTGCCCCCCACCTCACCATTCCACCCCCCTCCCGAGTCCTGCCCCCACCACCTTCCCACACCCAAGCAGCCTCTGCCCACCTCCAGCCTGCTCCAGCCCCAAGCCTTCCTGGTGATGACCCGGCTGCACTGAAGGGGCTTGTAGCCACTAAGACGGTGCCTGAGCTGGGCCGGAATCCAGCTCCCCCAGAGGGCAGCAAACAACCCGCAACACCCAGGACTGAGGGCTCCTCTCTGCTCCAGGAGAGGGGCTGGAGCCGATCGTAGGATGTGGGGTCAGGGCACCCCAAGGATTAAATGCCACTCGACTTCATCAAAAATAATTTATTGCTCCTGGCTCTATTTACATTCTGTGGGGGTGCCCTCGTGTGGCTGCTCTGGGTAACTGCAGGGGGCATTCATCACACCCCTGCCTAGGCATGGGTGGAGTGGGGGAGACAGGGGTTTGCTGCCCCCTGCAGCTGGGGCTATAATGCAGCTTGGGGAGGGCCAGTTGGCACTGTGCCCCAGCGCTCCCTGCCCCCACTGGCAGGGGGCACAAGGACAGGTATGTCGAGGGGAACAGTGCCAGGGGGCAAGGAGGCGCTGGATCCCCCCAGGAAGTGGAGGGGGAATGCTGGACAAAGGAGGCAGAGATCAAAGGCCATTTCCATAGAGTGGGGGACACCTATAGTGGGGAGGGTGGGGGTGCATCTCAGTGTCCCTGTATAGCTGGGTCGATCAGGAGCGTCCTACCTCACCCCCGAAGATGCTCCTGCCCCCCTGCAGGTCACCCCAGGCAGTATGTGGGCAGCCTCCCCTGTGGTGCCCTGTGCTGGGGTGGAGCGGGGACAGGTCCCTCTTCCCCCCTCAGCCTCACTCCTTCCCCTGCAGCGCCCTGTGCTGGGGAGGAGCAGGGGCAGGTCCCTGGCTCGCTATTCCCCCTTCAGCGCCCCGTGCTGGGGTGGAGCGGGGACGGGTCCCCGGGTCTCCCACACCTCACGGATGGCCCGGCGCACACCCCGAGGCAGGTGCAGGGTCTCGGCATGGCACTGGCGGATGTGGCGCATGACGGTGCCCAGTCGAATAGGCAGCAGTGAGTACTCGCAGACCATGCACACCATGGTGCCAGCACCAGCATCATAGTCCATCAGGAAGTCGGCGCGCCATGCTGGATCAAAGGGCTTGGCCTGGGGAGGGGAGGGCGCTGGTGGGGCCTTGCCCCGCGCCCGCCAGCTCTGCAGGGTGCAGCGGACGGCACTGGGGCTCAGGCGGAGGCGCCGGGTGATGCCATGGTGAGAGTAGCCCTTGCGGCGGAGGCGGGGGACACCTGGGTTCAGATCCTGGCTGGGCAGCGCAGAGACGGGGCAGCTGCCAACTGCAGAGAGGGCAAAGGGTTAATGCTGAGAACCAGCAGCCAGCGCTGAAAAGCAGCTAACTCTGGGGTGGGGGCTGTTTATACAGGCACCCCTCACTTGGCACTGAGATGCAGCTGCCTTTGGGGTGGGGCGTATGGGGGCTGTTAATACCGGGATCCCATGTCCAGCAGTAAGATGCAGCTGCCTCTGGGGTGGACCCTAGTGGGCCACTAGGAACCCTCCCTACTATGCCACCTTGCCACACTCACCTGAGTTCCCTGAGCCCCGTCTCACGGTTCCTGCTTTGCCCAGCTGTTTCTGTCTCTTCCCCAGTGCCTGGGTTTTGCCCCTGTCCCCTGGGCTCTTCTGTTCCTGGATGCTTGGATTCTTCCCTATTTCTCTCCCTCCAGAGGCTGCAGGCAGAGAGAGGGGTCAGCGAGGAGGGGTTGCTGTACCTCCTCTCCCTTCACCACCCACTATGGGTGTCCTTCCCAGCTCTTCCAAGGCATGTAGGTTGGGAAGGGAGTGCCTGCCCCTTGTCTCCCCCTGGGTCAGGATGGGGTCACCAGTGGGTGGGAACTCAGCTGGCCCCCAGCCAAGGGGAACCAGCAAGGGGCAGCATCTGGGGCTGGGAGCTAGCTGAGATCCTGGAGGGTGATCTGTGGGGACTGGGATGCAACTGAAACCCTGGAGGGATAGGACAACGTGGAGGACCCTGCCTTCAGCTCTGCTCTGGGGGAAATGGAGGTGGCCGCAGGGGATGCCCTCTTTCCTACAGCGCCCTCACCTGGCTGGGGTCTGCAGTACAACCTGAGCGTGAATCCGGCTGGGAAAGAACCGTCAGTGAAGAGGCGGATTTCGGGGGGCGCTGAGCTGGGGGCAGCCTCCTCTGAGGGGGACGTTGTCCCTGTGGGGAGAGACACAGCAGTAACGGTGGGGTAGGGACTGTGAAGGAACCAAGGTTCTGGCTCCCAGCTCCTCTGCTCTAACCCACAAACCCCACTCCCCTCCCCGGGAATTGAACCCGGGATTGAATCCTGCTCCCTCTCCCCTCCCACCACTCACCTGGACTCACGGTGCCCCTGTCCTGTCCCTCACTCAGCTGTTTGCTCCTCCGCTCCCTGGCTGGTAACGCCATGCCCTCCACAGGCCCCACGCTCTGTCGTCTCCTCTGGCCCCGCGGGCGCTGCCCGGGCTCCAGGGCCCTAGCATCTGCGATAAGACACCTGGTGTCACGAGAGGCAGCCCCGAAACAAAGGGGATGAGCACCCACACGGCTGAGCATGGTCCCTGACCCCCATCACCCGCCCAGGCCTGGCACTCACCTGGGCGGGGGGCAGGGCGCCCTCTGGGCTGCCCACGTTTCCGGGTCACCGTCTGCTCCTCTGGGTCAATTAGAACCTCAATCTCGGCTGGTTCCCTGGCCCCATGGTACTGACCTAGAGGGGGAGTGAGATTCTGGGATGGCTGCATCACCCCCAGCCCTGCTGGTGCCCTTCGATCCCAACCCATAGCCCCACTGCTCCCTCCCCCACCACAGCTCTCCTGGTGCCCCTGGCTCATGGCCTGCAGTCACCTGCTACCCCAGCCCTGGGCTCCTCCTCTCCCCAGCTCTGCTGGTGCCCCACAGCTCACCTTCTACCCCAGCCCTGGGCCCCCCTGCTGCAGGAGGGGCTGGGGGACATACCTGGGGTGCAGGGTGGGGGTACCCCCTCGGGCAGGTTGCCCCCCTGGCTCCAGGCCTCCAGAATGTTGCGCTTCTCCTCCGGGCTGAGGCCCAATGAGTGGGCGTGGTGCTGCAGAACGTGTTCCCGGGCAGCGCTCGGCCCGCAGGTGCCCAGGAAGGTGCCACAGACCATGCACACGGCCCCGCCGCGCCCCGGGCAGTCTCCCACTAAGTACTCCTGCTGCCAGGCCCTACCAGGCCCTGCCTCTGCTGGTGCTCCCCCTAGCCAGGAAGACAAAATGTGCTCAGGGGAGCGAGAACCCAGGAGTCCTTGGCACCCAGCCCCCTTAGCTCTCACCACTAGACCCCGCTTCCCTCCCAGAGCAGGGTCTAGAACCCAGAGTCCTGGCTGGACAGTCCATACCTCTGTCTAGAGGGTCCCTGTCAGCCTCCTCCAGCTTGACCCCGGGGGGCGAGGTCGCCCAGGGGGGCACAGAGCCGGGCACAGGCTGCAATTGGCACAGGTTCCTCTGCCTCGCACTTCAGCGAGACGGCGATGTACTCCAGCCGGGGCACCTCTGCCTTCACCTCCATGGCTGGGCCTGGGCAGAGCTAGGCACAATGTGGGGAGGGCGTTAGTCGGGGCACTCAGGAGACCCCACTCCACTCTAATCATTAGACCCCACTTCCCTCCCAGACCTAGGAAGAGAATCCAGGAGCTCAGAGCCCCTTCCTCCCTGCTGGCTGACCTTGGGCAGAGCTCCCCCACCCCCACCTTGCCATCTCCTTCACTACCCCCTCCAGCTCAAGGCCACCCCACCCCCTTCTTATCTCTAGCCACTCAGGCCTAGCAACAGCCCCTTTGTGCTCTCCTGTGGGAGGTAGAGTCCTAGCTATGGGACAACCCCATCCCCAGTCAGGTCACTGTGGCAGGGAACCCCCAAAAGACCTGGTGTCTTGCCTCTCTCAGGCCAGGGGCCTGGATCCACAACTTTTCTATTCTGGGAACTATGTCCCTAGGACCCGCCCCCCAATCCCTGTGAGCCCTCTCCCTGTCCCCTGGACTTGGGGTGCTGGAACAATTTGTATAGTGGGGGTGCTGAGAGTCATTGAACCAAATTGTAAACCCTATGGAAATTTCTTCAAGCCAGGGGGGTGCGGCAGCATCCCCAGCTCTAGCACCTATATCCCGGACACTTCATTCCCAACCCTCTTTCCCCACTGACCCTGGAAACCTCCCCTTCTTCCCAGACCCCCATAATCCTGGGCGTCCCCTCTGAAGCCCTCTCCTTTTCAATTCCCCTGCTCTTGGGAGTGCCCCTCTCCCCCAGGAACTGTCAGTGGCAATGACGGTTGGAGCCCTTCCTTCCCAAGTGCTCCCCTCCCCTTTGACCCTGGGATCACCCCCAGATCCTCTCCTTCCCAGACTCTCCAGTGACCCTGGGAGCCCAGTTGCCCAGTTGTCCCTCCCTCCCCTTCTGCGTGCTGCCTTGTGGCTGCCCCACATGCGATGGTAGCAGGACCTTCCAGCATCAGGAAAAAGGAAGGGGGGGGGTCACTCCCACTGGAGCCTGTGTGGGGGCTTTAAGGCACCAGCTACAGGGGGGTTAAAGAGGCAGTGATCCTCTCCCAGAGCCAGGGAGGGAATCCCGGAGTCCTGACCCACTGGCTGAAAGATTCCAAGATGGACACCCCAGATTGCAAAAGATTCCAAAGAGGTTTATAACCAATGCACCAGTAAGAAGATACAGCCACCTTGGGGAGCATGGCACAGGGGCTGATTAATAACCAGACATCCTTTGCTATGGAAGAGGGGCTCACAGAACAGCAGACCAACCTGCACCCCACCCTGCAGGAATAGAGACCCCACTGATCCTTCTATGGGTCAGGCCTCCTGCCCCCAATCCATGCACAATGACACCCCCTATTGCAGTCCAGCCTTCTTCTGTAATCCACTCTCCCCTCCAGCATAACCTAGTCCCCACCTGGACCCCACTGGTCCCATAACAGTCTGCTCAGCCCCCTAATTCTCCTTCCACAGGGCCACCCCACTAAATCCCAATGATCCCATGCTAAACCCTGCTGCTGTGGAACTCTTCCTATATTGGATCCCAGCCCCCCAGAGTGATCCACACCATCCACTGGATCCTGAGGCCATCACCTTCTTCCTCCCCAGTATGACCCATGCCTTCCACTGGATCCCAGCCCCTCCCCCCATGTGACCCATTCCTTCCACTGGATCCCAGCCCCTACTTCTTCCCCAGTGTGGCCCACACACCCACCGGATCCCAGCTATCGGTGCGGGAGCTAGGGGGGCTTGGTAGCAGCCCATGGATTGAAGTAGTTTCCATCATATACAGGGTTTATAGTTTGATTCAATGGCTCTGAGCACCCCCCACTATACAAATTGTTCCAGCATCTGCGATCCCAGCCCCTCCTTCCTCCCCAGTGTGACCCACACCCCCGCTTGATCCCAGCCCCACAGCACCCCATTAGATCCCAGCCCCCAGCGCCACCCGCACCCCCCCTACATCTCAGCCCCTCCCCCAGGCTCCCCGCTGGATCCCAGCCCCCTCCCACCACCGGATCCCAGCCCCTCCCCTCGCTGCCGGATCCATCCTGGCGACCCCTCCCCATTCACCGGCTCGCGCTGCTGCTCCCGGGCCCGGCACCATAGAGTTTCGCAAAGGGAGCGGCACCACCCACCTCCCATCCAGCCCCCACAACCTCCCTCTCTATGGTCTCATTGTCCCGGCTCTCCTAGCTTGGGGCTCCCTCCATTGCGCACAGCCAATCGTGAGAAACCAGCCGTCCTAAGCTCCGCCTCCTTCAGCGCCGGCCAATCAGCGCGTGTATACGGGAAGGAATAAGAGGAGCCGGGGGAAGGGGCTGGGACGGGCGCCACCTACCGGCCGAGAGTGGGGATTGCAGGATGTGGGAGGGGAAGGGCGGGGATTGTAGGGACTGAGCCCCGCTATGTGGGGACAGGGATGGGGACTGGTCTATAGGGGAGCATTCTACAGGGGCAGGCAGAGGCCCACCCCCGGCACAGGGAAGGGAAGGGATTGAGCCCAGCCTCACGGACATAGGGAGAGGGAGGGCATTCTGCAGGGGTTGAGTCCCGTTCCCTGAGCACAGGAAGGGGATTCTATAGGGGAGGGGATAGTATAGCGGCTGAGCCCCACTTCCGGGGGACAGGAAAAAGGAGAGGGAATTCTATAAGGGATGGGGATTCCATAGGGGCTGATCCCAACCTCCTGGGCACGGTGGTGGTGGTGGGGGATTTATATGTGCTGGGCTTTGCTCCCCGAGCAGAGCGAAGAGGAATTCTGCAGGGACTGAATCGTGCCCCTCAGGAAAGAGGAGGGGGAGGGAATTTTATAAGGGACAGGATTCCATGGGGGCAGAACCCCACCCCCAGCACACGTATGGGGGATTCTGCAGTGGATGGGCGTGGGAGCAGTGAGACAGTGTGAGGATGGCACTGGGGATGCCCGTGGAGTGGGAGCCAACGTGGGGGGCAGAGGTTTCGCCCAGGCACAGGGATCGGTCCCCTCAGTGCGGGGGCCCTCTGTGCTGCATGGGGTACAGTCGCTCCCAACACCCCCTCTCCATCAGGGTAACGGGAGGCTGCAGGGAGCGCACCGCTCGGTGTTAGAACTGGGCGGTGCATTGATGGGGAATAGCAGAGACCTGGGGCAGTTCAGTGTATCGCAAACGCCCCCTTATAGCTCAGCTCCCCGACTCCCTCCTGGGTTGGGGACTCGAGAGTCGCGTTGGGGGTGTGAGAACTGGGGCTGCTAATAACATCGGAGCCCCCTTATATCCCAACCTTCTACCCCATATATCCCCGATGCCCCTCATATCCCAGTCCCTGCCTTGAGTCCCCGCTCCGCTCTCCAGAGCTGGGGAGGGGACTCAGAGTCGCGGGGGGCGACAGATGAGACCCGGGGGGTGACCCCATCTCCTCCCCCCTACGCTGCAGAAATAGAGCGCGGCCCCTTTAAATTTACCCAGGAGCCCTTAAAGGAGCCCCAGGGGCCCCAGACAGGAATCCCCACCCCGGTCGGAGCAGCCTGGCTCGGCCGCAGCCGCCGTTCGGAACCCGGGAGCCCCCTCCCCGCGCGGGCAGGGCTCTGCTGTAGCCCCGAGCCTGCCCCGCGGCCCCGGCGCGGATGGACAGGCGGCCGGAGGGGGGCGGGTGCTGACGGACGCACGGACACAGGGATGGAGCCGCCTCCCTCCCCTCCCCCCCGCCGCCCCGTCAAACGGGAGCCCCTGGACCCGGAGGCAGGTGAGAACAAAGGGGGCGGCTGGCGCCCCCTGCCGGCCCTGGGGTGAGCAAGCGCCCAGGGCACCCGGGTGGGGGGGTGACGGCCCCTTTAAGACTCCCTTCAATGGCTCTTTGAAGCCTCAGAACCCCCCGGTCCCTTTAAGACTCTCGCCCCATCCATTAAAGCAGCAAGCCCCCCATTTCAGAGGGAACGAATCCTCTCTCCTGCTCCCCCGTGACCCTTTAAGACCCCTTTCCTTAAAGACACATAGCCCTTACAGAGCAGGTCTCCCCCCGTCACTGTCCACTGCCGCTTTAAGGCCCCCCACCCCATCTTATTGGTCAGGGTTCTTGTCCCCTGCTTCCCTCCCCTCCCCTCAGGTCTCTTAAAGGAGTAAGCTCCTCTGTCCATCCCTTTTATCCTGGGGCCCTAAAGGTGTCTCTAGGGCATTTAAAGGGGAGGGAGCACCCACGTTTTTGCTGGGGACTTAAAGGGGCAGTAACCTCTTCCCGTTGAGCTCTCATGCCTTAGCTCTTAAAGGGGCAGGACCATTATGCCCTTTGCTGGGATCTAAAAGGGCATGGATGGCTCTGGTCACTGGGCTTCTCCCTTTTGGGTAGGGGCACGGACGTTCAGGGTGATCCCTCACCCTTTGCCCCTCTAGGTCTTTTAAAGGGGCAAGAGGCCCTTCTCTTCCCAGGCCATAAAAGGACAACATCCCCAAACACTGTACATAGCTCTGCCAATGTCCCTCAATCCCCACTTGCAGCCCCTGGCCATCCCAGCCCTGGGCTCCCCCCCCACAGCTCTGCTGCTGCCCCCTCAGTCCCCACATGAAACCCATCCTCCCATGCATGCACTCTTGCCCAGATGCCCAGGCTATGTTCTCACACATCCCTGCCATTGTGGTCTGTTTCACCAGGGGAATCCCCAAGCCAGGACAACTCCGGCAGCACCGAGGCCCCTGAGTTGATGCTAGGGGGGTCCCTGTCATGGGGGACCCCCAAGGATCACCCCCTGATGGCCTCAGGGGGGCGAAAGTACTCAGATCACTGTGAAGAGCGGGCATCTCGGCCTGGGAAGAGCCGCATCCCCGGGCGGGACCATCGGCGCTATTATCACGAGCACTGGCGGGCTGAGTACCTGATGGACTTCAACCCAGCACGGCATGGCATGATCTGCATGGTGTGTGGCAGCGCCCTGGCCACCCTCAAGCTGAGCACCATCAAGCGTCACATCCGCCAGAAGCACCCCTACTCAGGGGGCTGGGGCCCCCGCGAGAAGCAGGTCATCATCCAGAGCTGGGACGCCCATCTCGGTCTGGACGGGGAGTCTGAGGGGCACGGAGACCCCGCCCAGGCACCTGACAGCTTGCAGGGAGCACAAGGTAGGGCACAAGTCCTATGCCCCAGGCACCCCCCACCATGCAGTCCTCCCCACTGTTCCTGTGCATCTCCATCTCTGAACACCCATCCCCCTGCACCTCTGCGCCCCCAGCACTCCTCCACTGCCCTAGGCAACCCTCTCCCCTGAGCACCCATTCCCCTCCTAGACACCCCTCCCCTGAATACTCTGGCCCATTCCTCAATCCCTGGGCAGCCTTCCCAAGTATCTCCCCACCTTTTCTATCATAGAATATCAGGGTTGGAAGGGACCTCAGAGGTCATCTAGTCCAACCCCCTGCTCAAAGCAGGACCAATCCCCAACTAAATCATCCCAGCCAGGGCTTTGTCAAGCCTGACCTTAAAAACTTCCAAGGAAGGAGATTCCACCATGTCCCTAGGTAATGCATTCCAGACCTTCACCATCCTCCTAGTGAAAAAGTTTTTCCTAATATCCAACCTAAACCTCCCCCACTGCAACTTGAGACCATTACTCCTCATTCTGTCATCTGCTACCACTGAGAACAGTCTAGATCCATCCTCTTTGGAACCCCCTTTCAGGTAGTTGAAAGTAGCTATCAAATCCCCCCTCATTCTTCTCTTCCGCAGACTAAACAATCCCAGTTCGCTCAGCCTCTCCTCATAAATCATGTGTTCCAGTCCCCTAATCATTTTTGTTGCTCTCCGCTGGATGTTTTCCAGTTTTTCCACATCTTTCATGTAGTGTGGGACCCAAAACTGGACACAGTATTCCAGATGAGGCCTCACCAATGTCAAATAGAGGGGAACGATCACGTCCCTCCATCTGCTGGCAATGCTCCTACATATACATCCCAAAATGCCATTGGCCTTCTTGGCAACAAGGACACACTGTTGACTCCTATCCAGCTTCTCGTCCACTGTAACCCCTAGGTCCTTTTCTGCAAAACTGCTGCCGAGCCATTCGGTCCCTAGTCTGTAGCGGTGCATGGGATTCTTCCGTCCTAAGTGCAGGACTCTGCACTTGTCCTTGTTGAACCTCATCAGATTTCTTTTGGCCCAATCCTCTAATTTGTCTAGGTCCCTCTGTATCCTATCCCTACTCTCCAGCGTATCTACCACTCTTCCCAGTTTAGTGTCATCTGCAAACTTGCTGAGGGTGCAATCCACGCCATCCTCCAGATCATTAATGAAGATATTGAACAAAACCGGCCCCAGGACTGACCCTTGGGGCACTCTGCTTGATACCGGCTGCCAACTAGACATGGCGCCATTGATCACTACCCGTTGAGCCCGATGATCTAGCCAACTTTCTATCCACCTTACAGGCCATTCATCCAGCCCATATTTCTTTAACTTGCTGGCAAGAATATGTGGGAGACCGTGTCAAAAGCTTTGCTAAAGTCAAGGAATAACACGTCCACTACTTTCCCCTCATCCACAGAGCCAGTTATCTGAAGGCAATTAGATTAGTCAGGCATGACTTACCCTTGGTGAATCCATGCTGACTGTTCCTGATCACTTCCTCTCCTCTAAGTGCTTCAGAATTGATTCCTTGAGGACCTGCTCCATGATTTTTCCAGGGACTGAGGTGAGGCTGACTGACCTGTAGTTCCCTGGATCCTCCTCCTTCCCTTTTTAAAAGATGGGCACTACATTAGCCTTTTTCCAGTCGTCCGGGACCTCCCCTGATCGCCATGAGTTTTCAAAGATAATGGCCAATGGCTCTGCAATCACATCCGCCAACTCCTTTAGCACTCTCGGATGCAGCGCATCCGGCCCCATGGACTTGTGCTTGTCCAACTTTTCTAAATACCCCCAAACCACTTTTTTCTCCACATAGGGCTGGCCACCTCCTCCCCATGCTGTGCTGCCCAGTGCAGCAGTCTGGGAGCTGACCTTGTTCGTGAAGACAGAGGCAAAAAAAGCACTGAGTACATTAGCTTTTTCCACATCCTCTGTCACTAGGCTGCCTCCCTCATTCAGTAAGGGGCCTGCACTTTTCTTGACTTTCTTCTTGTTGTTAACATACCTGAAGGAACCCTTCTTGTTACTCTTAATATCTCTTGCTAGCTGCAACTCCAAGTGTGATTTGGCCTTCCTGATTTCACTCCTGCATGCCTGAGCAATATTTTTATACTCCTCCCTGGTCATTTGTCCAATCTTCCACTTCTTGTAAGCTTCTTTTTTGCATTTAAGATCAGCAAGAATTTCACTGTTAAGCCAAGCTGGTCGCCTGCCATATTTACTGTTCTTTCTACACATGGGGATGGTTTGTCCCTGTAACCTCAATAAGGATTCTTTAAAATACAGCCAGCTCTCCTGGACTCCTGTAATACTGTATGATGTTATTCTCCCAGGGGATCCTGCCCATCAGTTCCCTGCGGGAGTCAAAGTCTGCTTTTCTGAAGTCCAGGGTCTGTATTCTGCTGCTCTCCTTTCTTCCCTGTGTCAGGATCCTGAACTCGACCATCTCATGGTCACTGCCTCCCAGGTTCCCATCTTTTGCTTCCCCTACTAATTCTTCCCGGTTTGTGAGCAGCAGGTCAAGAAGAGCTCTGTCCCTAGTTGGTTCCTCCAGCACTTGCACCAGGAAATTGTCCCCTACACTTTCCAAAAACTTCCTGGATTGTCTGTGCACCGCTGTATTGCTCTTCCAGCGGATATCAGGGTGATTGAAGGCTCCCATGAGAACCAGGACCTGCGATCTAGTAACTTCCGTGAGTTGCCGGAAGAAAGCCTTGTCCACAGGCATGTACCCCCACTCCAGAAATCCCTCCTCCAGTCTGTGGGGGCACCTGGGCCTCAGTGAGGGCTCTCTCCCCGCACCCCCTGGGGAGTCTACCTTGCCCACATCCCCACTAGCACCAGGGACCTGGCACTCCCCCGTGCCCCAGGCACCTTTCTTGTTGGGCAGCTAAGGCCCTTCCCCTGTAGGGGGTGCTCCACTCTGCCCTGGTGCGAGCCCATGTGGTGCCTAGCCCTCCCATTTGTGATGGGGGCAGCTAGCAGCTGGGGGGTTCGTGGGAGGGCACGGCAGGGGATGGGGAACTGGGGGGTGACCGCATCTCCATGTGTATCTCTCAGGGGGGCTTAGGGGGCGGGGTATGCAGGAGAGCTGGGGTTCAGTGTTGGGCAGGAAGGGTTAGGGGTATCTGTGAACCAGGGATACACAGGCTCCTCCAGGAGCACCGTTGGCAGGGGCGGATACAGCCTGTGCCCCATGCCCATCCTGCCCAGGGGCTGGGGTCAGGGTTAGGGGAGTGCAGGGCGCTGACCTGTCTGTCTCCCCCAGGGACGCTGTTGGCAGGGGGTGGGTTACGGCGTCGGCGCCGTGCCCCATGCCCATCCCCACGGGGGGCTGCCCGGCGGCCGGCGGTCGGGGGGAGGAAGGCATCGCCCAGCGCCCGCCGGCTGGAGCGCTACGTGCGTGAGTCCCTGCAGAGCTGGTTCCAGGCCGAGTTCCTCATGGATTACGATGCCCAGGGCAACCGGCTGCGCTGTATGATGTGTGGGCGTGGGCTGCCCAGCCTCAACCTGGACGACATCAAGCGCCACGTGCTGCAGGCTCACCCCGCCTCGCTCGCCTTCAGCCCTGCTGAGAAGGGCGCCATCCTGGAGGCCTGGAACTCCCGCGCCCTGGTGCTGGCCACTGGCAAGGGCTGGGCGCCGCAGGGGGAGCACCCTGCAGGTGAGGGGGCAGAGAGACCAGGGTAAGGGGACCCCCTTGTGAATGGGGGGCCTGGGAGGACTGGGGTCGGTGGGGGGGAAGCTGGAGGGACTGGGGTGGGGACTGGGGAGCCTGTGGGTGAGGGGAACATGCCCTCTCTTGTGTCCCCTCTGAGGGGGTGGGCTGGGGTAACAGCATGTGTCACAGGTGGAGGCAGTCCTAACCTGTGATGGGGAGGGCATGTGTGAGGGAGATCTGTGGGGATGGGGGTGGGAGCAGAGTCTGTCTGTGCTGTTGTGGGACAATCTGTCTGTTCCTATGGGGCACCCACATGTGAACACCCCCCAGCACCTCTGTCTTGACCCCTATCTCTCCCTAGAGCCCGATGCCCCCTCCCCTGGGGACCTTAGCGGTGAGGCCCCTGAGCCATGTTCGGCAATGGCTGCCCCAGAGCCAGAGGAGAGCAGCTCTCTGGGGAGCTGGGCCAAGGAGGAGCCTGTGGCGCCATGGGAGCTGGATGCGGGGGGGCCACTGCGGGGTAAGGACCATCGGCGCCATTTCCAGGAGCACTGGCGGCTGGAGTACCTGATGGACTACCATGGCGAGCGGCATGGGCTGGTGTGCATGGTGTGTGGGGGAGCACTGGCCACCCTCAAGATGAGCACCATCAAACGCCACATCCGCCAGCGGCACCCTGACTCCACCCTGCTCAGCCACCAGGTCAAAGCCCTGATCGTGGAGGAGTGGAACCGCAAGGTCGCCCAGCTGGTGGAGATGGGGGCACCCCTGCCAGAGCAGGCCTCAGGTGAATGGGGGTTGGGGCTGGGGCCAGCCAGCTGTTGGCCTTCCCATGGGTGCTTGAGAAGCTGAGGAGCAAGTCCTGCCATCCAGCCCTGGGCACCGGGGTGTTCCATGGGGCGGAAGCTGAGGGCCACACTCTGCCATCCAGCCCTGGGCAAGACGGGTAGGGGGAGCTGCTGCTAGCCTCTCATGGGGAGAGGGACAAGCAAAGAGGATCCAGGGCTGTGTGGCTGTCTCAGAGTAGCCAGGGACAGGGTGACGGGTCAGATGGGGGCAGGGCTGCTGGGGACTCCCTTCCCCCAGGGAAGATGCCAGGGGGTGCCTGGTGTCCAAAGCAAGTGCTAGGGCTGCAGGGCGTAGATGCAACTGGGACCACCTGCAGAAGCCCCGTAATCTGAACAGTAACAGCCCTGGTCTGCCTCCCTCTGCTACCTGCAGTGCATGTGCTGCGAGGACCAGAGCCCCACCTGGTGGCAGCAGGTGGTACTGCACCCTGCAGCTTCCTCCTGCGTTTCCCCCACAGTAGCCCTGGGGTATTGCATCCTGCAGGAGCGCAACAGGTCCCCCTAGTGGCAGCAGGAAGCATTGCACCCAACAATGAGCGCCCCCCCCCTCTCCGGTGGTAGTGGGTGGCATTGCACCCAGCTGCAGCACCACAAATAACCCCCAGTCACCAGCGGAGGAGCTGCGTGCCTGACCCACCCCAGGACGTGTTTGAGCACTGGCTTCTCCCAAACCAGCTCTTAAAGGACTGGATCAGAATCAGCACCGGAGAGGCCCCTCCCCCACGCAGAGCCAAGCTGGATTGGAACCAGTGTCCACGAGGCCCTGCGTCTGGGCTGGATCAGAACAGCACCATAGGTGAATGTCCCCTCCCCCTTGCAGTCAGGCTGGCTCAGAAGCCATGCTCTAGAGACACCCCCACACCACCCACTGCAGCTGGGCTAATTCCCCCTTCCATGGGGAGGGAGGTGGGATGTGCTACGTACCCCAGCTGTGCTGTGATCGCTGAGCCATCGGGGCGGGGCCCTGGAGCTCTGTTGTGGAACCACAGGGTCAGCAATTCCATCATGCCCAGGGATGTGGGAATGAGGCCTGAATCTGTGCAGGGGGTGGGGCCAGGGGGGCCAAGCACGGTACCTAGCTTGACTTGACCTCGCTTTGTCGCTTTTCCAGGAGACTCCCAGAATCCTTTGCAACCATCAAGCCCCGAGGAGCTGGATGAGGATGTGCAGCTGCTTGCAGAGGGGGAGGAGGAAGAGGAGGATGAGTGTGTGGTGGTGGTGGGGACGCCCCCATCCACCCCACAGAGCCCCCCTGACCCCACAGCTGGCCCCCCGCTGGGCCCGGCACCTGCACCGCGGCGGGAGCAGCGGCGGAACTACCAGCTGCATTGGCGCGTGGAGTACCTGATGGACTACGACGGCAGGCGGCACGGTCTGGTGTGCATGGTGTGCGGGGGGGCGCTTGCCACCCTCAAGGTGAGCACCATCAAGCGCCACATCCTGCAGGTGCATCCCTTCTCCTTGGACTTCACCCCAGAGGAGCGGCAGACCATCCTGGAGGCCTACAATGAGACCGCCCTGCGCTATGAGCCTGCCCTAGGGGAGGAGTCTGAGGTTAAGCCCCACCCCTTTCTCCAGGCCACTCCTGCTGGTGGGGAAGAGGCAGAGTTGGCCTGTGCCCCACCCACCAGCACAGCATAGTTGATGGACAGGACTCCATCTTGACTCTTGGGAGCAGGGGTGGGGGGTCCAGGCTATGGACAGACACCCCTTGCTCAGGGGGCTCGTTTGGGAGCAGGATAGGGGGTTCTGCACCCACCCATGCTACGGACATTGCCCCAGGAACTACACAGCACCTTCCCCCACCCCCACGCATCTGGTCCTCACGCACTGATACTCCATGGCCCAAGCTTGGGGGTGGGGGAAGGGCCTCACACGGCCCCCTGTAGCTTTTAATCCCCCCACCATCCGAGCTGGGGTGGCACAGAAATGGGGTTGTTGGGGCTGGGGGCGCATGGGGCTGGAACCCAGCTGCTCAGCGAGCCAGTGGAGAGGGCATTTGCAAGACATGGGGGTGCGGGAAAGGGATGGAATCATCTCCCTGCCCGGGGCAGGCACTAGTGAGCACAGGGGCAGCTGCTCTATTTAAGGGGCCAGTTCCAGACCCCTCCTGGGACTCTTCCTGGCCCCCAGGGTAGCTGGTTTGAAAAGCTGCTGCTGCCAAATCCCAGCCTCCCCCAGTTCCCGTCTGGCCTCTGAATGGGGCCTATCTCTTCCTGTCCCCCAGCCCCAGCTGCAGGGTTTCACTCCAGCAGCCTCTTCCTGGCACAGGAGCAGGCTGGAATCCATGTCCCTCGGAGCTAATTGGATGTAACCCCAATGCTTCCTTTCCCCCACCCACTCCAGGGAAAGTGCCACCCTCTGTGGAGAGTCTAGACTGGCCTTTGCAGTTGTGTGTATTACCTTAATTAGCTGCCAGAGTCACCGCACCTCATCTAGATGCAACATCCTAAGAACCTTCCTTGGGCTGAAGTTAAACTGACTCTCCCCCGCCAGCACCAGGGGGCCCTGGTAAGTAACCCCTGCCCCCCGCTAAATGCCAAGCAGTGCCGCTTACGCGAGCCAGGCGAGGCCTCGGCCCCCATCGCGCGTGGATGGCTGCCCAACTGGAACGCAGCGTTTTGCACTCACTTCCAGCCGGTGTAAAATGGGGAAGCAGGGTCCCTGCCTTGAGCCATGCGGGCTGGAATTTCAAGCGCTGGAGCAAGGCTGCGGCTGGGGGCCTCAGATGGGGATAAGGGGGTCAAGGCTGGGCCGCAGCTGGGGGTGGGACTGGGGGCAGGAGCAGAGCCACAGCTGGGCCATGGTGGGGGCCAGTAGCCGGGCCCCTGGCTGGGGTCGGGGCTGGAAGCTGGAGCTGTGGCTGGGGGTGGAGAAGAGCTGGGGGCAGGGTGGGGCTGGGTGACACTTCCTCCCTACCCCCTGTTGGGGCTGGCCTGGGCCTGCTGCACCGCCCAAACGTGCCTCCTTGCCCCCATGGGGTGGGCGCACCCCACAGTTTGGGGACCTCTGCCCTATGGGAAGCTAAGATACTTCTGATTCCACCATCAGCTCGTGGTAGGGGGAGCTGCCACGCAAAGACAGTCAGTAGTATGAGCTGAGATCCGCACTCTTTGCTACCATCTCAAATCTACAGATGGGAAAACTGAGGCCAAGAGCAGCTTAGGGACTTGCTCAAGGTCCCCGAGAAGGTGTGGGGCAGAGCAGGGAATTGAACCCAGGTCTCCTACTGACCAGTGCTCTAACCACTAGGCCCATCTTATGCATGGGGGAGCAGATGTCTCTCTGTGCTAGTTCCCCAGAAACATCTTAGCTCGGTGGTCTCCCAGATGCCGATTTGATGGGGCAGAGCAGCAACTCCTGTGAATCAGCATAGCTCCTGCTGGCTTCCACGCAGCTGATCTCAGGTCAGTGCTGGATCTGCCCCAGGTGCCCGCGCCCCCCACTGCCAGCTAGGAAAGGATGCGTCCTTCTCTGCTCCGGCTGCCAGGCTTCACAAGGGTCCTGTCCTAAGCTCCCAGCTGCCCCGTGTGTGACCAATAGCCCTGTAGCCCTCCACCATGCAGGGGCAGCATCTGTTGAGTGGCAGCGATCCCTCCCCTTTGTTCTTTGTTCTGTACTAGCCCCCCTCTCCCCAGTGATGGGGGTGGGGATTGATGTAAGTGCCTGGGGCACTCCTGCATGCCTCTGTCTCTAATGTGGGCTGGCAAGGGGATACTGAGCTAGATGGGCCTATTGTTGTAATGTGGGGGGGAAGAGGGGGACCCTGGCTGCGATGGGCCCTTTGGGCTGAGCTGGGGCAGGGAGGCGTGGCCCGATAGGGTCATTAGTCTGATGCAGGGTGAAAGCTCTTGGCAAACCCTTGGCAGTCTGGAGCAGCTGGACCCTGACTGCCACAGAGAGACAAGGGCAACGCTGCCACCCCCTCGCCTGCCCGCCAAGGCTGCTTCTGCTGGCGGCAGAGAATGTGATGCTGCTATACGCTGAGCACACTGGGGCCTGTTCTAACTGCTGCTTTGCAAACACTAGCAAATGTGCCCCTCCCTGCTGCATTCAGGGACAGTGTTAAGTGGCTCCCATTTTACAAGGGGGAAACTGAGACATGGAGGGGCTTTCTGGAAGATGGCCCAGCCTTGCAACTCCAGGGGCTGGGAGATCCAATGGAGACAAATCCACCGGCAACCACTTGTTACTTGTACCCTTGCTCCTAGCCTGCTCTGAGCAGGGTTACTGAGCCAGCTGCTGATCTACACTAGTGCACCCTCCCTCCTTAGCAAAGGGGTAGAGAGTTACCCTAGAGCATGTGTGGGAGCCCTGGGATTACACCACCAACCCCTTTCTGCTGCCCCTCTCACTTCTCCTCCAAGGCACTGGGGCCATTCAGTTTTGCTCATGCTGCTCTAACCATCCATATTTGGAAATCTTTCAGTGCTTCCCCACCCATGTGTCATCTCTAGGCTGGGGGAGGAGGGGGGACTCCCCTTCTGCTCTCTCAGACATAGCAGCTGGCCCCTTGTGCTGGGGCAGCTCTGCTCATGTGCGCCCAGGCTCCAAAGTGATGGGTTTTTAAGCAGGCCTCCTCTTCAGAGTGCACCAGGACAGCCCCCTTTGGGGCTCCATCTCCGAGCAGCTGCATGAATTAGGGTGCTAACCTCAGACTTGGGAGACCTGGGTTCATTCCCAGCTCCCCCATAAGCTTCCTGGGGGAAGTCACTTAGACTCAGTGCCCCTCTCTCTACAATGGGGCCAATAGCACTGCTCTGCCAGAATGGGGGGGAGGAGGGATGATAAATGCATTAAAGATTTGGGGGTGGCTCAGATCCAGTGGTACTTTAGATGAAAGGTTCCAGCTGATGGGCTGTAGGGTTGGATGGATATTTGAGGGTAGATAGGTCCCACTGGTCTGATCTGGGAGCATGGGGGTGGGGGGGGAGGGGGGGGAGACAGCCTAGCTGGGCCCATTGCTCTCAGATAGGGAAGATGCTGGGGGATGGGAGGGGCTCGACAGGCCTCTGGTTCTGATCCATGCTGCATAATCTAGACAAAAAAGATGCTTAGATGTTACAGCAGAGTTACTTTAGCATGGCTGGAGGGGAGTGGGGGGCGGGGGGAGTGAACTGGGGATAGAAGCAAGGCCTCATTCTACCCCAAGGAGAAACCCAGCTCAGGCTGTGACACTGGAAGGGGGCAGAGTTGGCAAGTTATTATCTAGAGCCCATCATGCAGGGCTGGATCAGCTGCTAAACACCCCCCCCCAAAAAAAAAAAGAAAAAGAAAAAGGGAGAAATAGTGCCCTATTGCAGGGGACACTCCTGTAAGCTGTGAAGAGTGGAAACCCAGCCATAGTGAGGGGTAGTGCAGAATTCCCTACAGCTGAGCGCTCCTCTCCCCACCCAGCTCTCAGCTGAGAAGGGGCAGGTTTTCCTCCTCCCAGCCCAGCTGTGCTGCAGCCCAGAGGTGGCAGTGGGAAAACGGGGAGTCTGATGCAAATCTAACAGCACTACCATGAGCCTTGCTTTTACTGCCCCATGGCAAGCCCCTCCTTTCAAGGCTAGCTTTGGGGCTCCAGCCAGTACTGTTGCCCCTGCCTGAGCTATTAAGAGCTAGGTGTAGTGATGGGAAGGCAGGAGCATCAGGCAGCTGGTAGAAATACCCATGGGTGCCTTTGCAGGAGAGACCCAGCTCCCTGCATTCTAGACTGAATGGCTCTTTCCTGCAAAGTTGACAGGGCTAGCGAGAGGTTCCTCCCGGGTAGCTAGTGTTCAAGAGCTGCCTTTGTGTAATCACGCTTCCTCTGTGCATGTGGGAAGTGAGGTGGGTGGGGGGCTGCGTTCCCTTGTGTATGCCTGGACACCAGCAGCACTAGGGCCCATTTGTGCAGGCCCACCCCAGCCCCAAATAGCAGTCCAGCAGCTCTTCAGCCCCAAGGTAGAGGCCTGAAGAGCAAAGCAGGACCATGAGCCCAAGAATCCCTTACCCCACGCTGCAGGCTTGCTGGGAGGGTGGAAGACACAGAACATTCCAGGCCTTTATGGGTAACACGTCAAGTGACACCAAGCCCCTGCCCCATGGCATGGGCCTCCTTTTTCACAGGAGCCGCAGGCTCTCCCTCTGGACTCAGAAGCTGCCTGCACGCTGGAGGCATTTTGCTTGTAGATTCTTACTGTGGTTTTAGAGCTCACTCCAGCATCCCAGAGCACGGTCTAGTAACCACACCTGATGTGTTGGAAGTGGTTATCCAAGGGGAGTTCAGAGCCATCTTCTTGCGCTTCCCTTCTTCCATTCCAGCTCTGTATATACCCTGCTCTAGAGTGCAGGGAAGGTGGGTTCTTAACATACAAAGATATGCCAAGTTAGGACATTTTGCCATTGTCTCCATTGCTGCGGGCAAGTCCAGCAAAGCCGGTTCCAGACTCCCATGTGAAATCTATAGTGAGGGGTAGCTGCCATCTCTTTAGGTTTTTGTATCTTACCAGTGTAGGTACCACTAACATGGTAGGTCACCAGGCATGGGAGCACTCACACTTGCCAGCGTAGGAGGTAGGTGGCCCAGCTGAGAGGCCTCACGCTTTCCAGAATTTTCCAGGTGTAGGGAGCATAGCAGCTTGAGTCAAATCTCAATCTTCCCTACCAAGAATGACATTGCAAAAACCAGGTGGCAGGTTGGTGTCATGAGCTACGGACTTAGCTGTGCCCAACTTGACTAGACGCTACAATCATCTCAGTTAAGACCTACCTGAAGCCTGAGTGGTTTCGAATGAAATGTTTTTATACACCACCCTTTCCTCCCCTCCAGAGAGCAACCTGCTCCTTGTAGCTACCATGTAAATGTTGTTATGAATTATATTTATATGCCTATGTTACACTTTAGTGACAGTATTGGAATATTTGTATGTGGTCCTCGTGAAAAGGTGTTTTGCATCAGTATGTTTTTTTATATGCATATGTTTTGTAAACATGTTAAATAAAGCCTTTCAAATGATGCAGTTTTGAAGTGCATTAATTCACGGTGTTACTGCCTTAAAAAAAACCCTACTGCCAATGCTTCTCCACTACTTAAGTCTGCAAGATCCTTGCTTTAGGCATTGGGTCAATTATAATTCTTTAGGGCAAAGAGGAACGTTCAGAAGAATAACTAAATGGTTCAACTGCAGAGTTTTGGGCACTGCTCGAACACCTGGTCTAGCGCAGATGCTTAGTCACTTTAGCTGTCTTAAAAATGGTTTAGTTTCTTCCTAAACCAGGTGAACTGAATGGGCATAAAAACAGATTTAATCATTCAGTGCTACACCTCAGTGCAGACACTCTTCAAAACTGATTCGAGCGTCTGAGAGGACTTTGGATTCCTCTCGAACTGAGTTAGGTTGGTGCCCTGAGCTAACCAAACAGGGGTAGAAACAGTCACTTAAAGTGGTGGATGAGGTGAGTGAGTGTTTATAGTTCAACAGCAACTTCAAAATACCACACAGTTATTGCGCCAGGCAGTATGTCCGTGTTGCCATCTTTTCATAGGGGTCTCAGACCGACCACTGATACTTGCCTGCAGAGATGAGGTTTAGCTTGATGATAGAACGGGCCTGAGGAGTGGAGGTGTCAATCACGATCCTCAGCCCAAAGCTTTTAAGCACTCAATCGCTCGGCCTGAAGAGAAGGCCTGAGATCCTGACATCAACAGAGAGAGTGGAAGAGCCAGAACAGCTCCCCACGCCCAACGCTCGGCTCCCCCAGTGACAGGCGAGCCATGGGGAATGCAGATGGCTTGCGTATCCCAGCTGCTGAGGCTAACTCCATCCCACTCACCATCTACCCCTTGACAACCTCCCAAGACAGCTGACACAGGAAATGAAGCCAGTGGGGACCTGTCCATGGTGTTTTTTATTAATACCACATCATTTGCAGTTTGACAGGAACCGGGTTGATCTCCCGGGGCACTACTGTAATTTATGCTGCACGCACGCACGCACACACACACACACACAGCTTCGTTAGTAGTTTGTTTCCGGTTTTCTGTCTACATGTTCTCTTTTAAAAAAACAAATTGCCTGGCACAACGATCTGTTCAACGTATCTCACAACAGCAGTAACAGAACAGACATAAGAGCTGGGCCAACCGTTTCCAGTGCAGAAGAGGTCCTGGGGAAGGGGTGGAAAGAAGTCAGGGCAGGACAATCAGTGCAGTTTCCACTGGGGAAAGCAGAGAACGTGGTTTGTTGCGGTGATGCTGAGAAAAGACCAGGGCAGGAGCAAAGAGGCTTTGAATTCCCTGCACTCATCCCCACAAGCTTTGCTTGGGAGGAAGAAAAGGTGGCCCAGCTTCTCAGGCCTGGGGGCACAGTCCCTGTAATAGACTACGTGCATCTAGGCTTTGAGTCAACTGGGCTCAGTTCAAAAGCAGAGTTGTATTTTTTGTGTGCACGCTGCCTCGCAGGGGTCAGAATCCCCATCTCCATGAGCAGATGCTTGCTAAAATGAACCCTGGGCTGCTCCAGGGCAGCCAAAGCCTCCCTTCTCCCTGCCACACTAAACTGACCTGAGGGAGGGGAGAATCCCCCTCGCCCCCTCATGCTGAACAGCTCGTTCATCCACTGGGCATTTTCCTTCTATTCCTGCTAGCAGTGCCTCCCCTGGAAAAAGCAATAGGGGTGGGCTGTTGGTCTAGGTCTCTTGCACCGGGGCGCAGCAGACTGGTTAAAGACTGACTCCTTCTGACCAGAGGAAACTCAAAGCTACCTTCCAATAAAGTTCAGCAAGTTAAGAGTGTACAAAAAATACAAATTGTGAAATACGCAGCTCTAAGACCATTCTGCACACTAGAGTGTTAAGTACCATTTCTGCACCCAGCTGGGGTTCAAATGGACCTTTGCTCCCTGCCAGCAGAATGGCACGCGGGCAAGGCAGCATGGGGCACTGTCTCGGTAGTTCAGCTCTCAGTGGTCACCCGCCCTCCGGGGGCTGAGATAGGGGTTATGGCAGCAGAGGAGTCACATGCAGAGTTCGGCAGGGGGTGAGGGGGTTGCGGGATGTTGTTTTTTCCTCTACACAAGTTTACAGCAGTGTACAGCAGATACAGACATTTTCATCTCATAGTAAGAAATAAAAGGTACAACCTGGGAGAGGGGTGGGGAGCACGTTGCAGGAACTGGAGAGGAAAGGGATGAACCAGACTAAAGCACAGAACTGATGTCACGTGGGGGTACAAACCCCCCTTTCGATCAGCAAGGTTGAGGGGGCAGTTTCCTGGACTTCCCACCCCACCCCTTTCAGTACAAGTCCCTGACCCCCAAGGAGCCAGCTGGGAGAGTATTTTGGAAGCAGGGAATGCAGAGCGCCACTCTGTGGAAGTGCAGGAAGCCAATGAGAGGGAAAGAGGGATGTCTCCCTGCAGCGATTCCCCTTGGCAGGCGGGAAAGCGTTTGGCCACCCTGCCCTCATTGGAGGCTGGGAACTGAAGAGGAGCCAGTGTTCAGAGCAGCATTGGGTTGTTCCCTGTGATCGGGGACAAGACCCTTACAATCGTTTGGCTGTGCTGAGGCCTCCCCTAATGGCTTTGACGCCAGGTCTCCTTTAGTCTGGTGCATGTTCTGAGCCCAATTCTAGGCTTAGAAAAGCAAATGCCAAATAATAACAAGAAACGCTTGGAATGCAGGCTCAAGCTGACTCAGCATGTTCCTTCATAGGTACAAGTAACAATGGTTATAACTATCGCATGGAGTTTAGTAATGGCTGGATCCTTGGGCTGCCCACCCACCCAGCTTATTCTGGCTTTTTCTTCACCATTCCTGGAAGTTTTGCTTGGATCCTACAGGAAAAGAAGTGGGGAGAGGGTGAGTTTGAAGGGCCAAGAGGTCAGCTGGATGCTCATTAACTTATGACAGGCTAGTGATTGGATCATGCAAGATGTTTATGAGGCTACACGCTACAGGTCCGGAGGCTTTGGCTCAGGCAGCAGACACCCATGCTTTGAGGTAGTGGGTTCTCTCTCTGCAGACATGCCTGGGTTGTCACTGCACTAGATTTACTGAGGACCATCCCTGTGGCTCTCTCCTTTCTGTTCAGCACCTGTTCTGAAGAGCATCTCATGCCCCAAACGCTCTTGTCTCGAGGGCTTGTGAAGGAATTTAGCCCTCATGGAAGCTGTGGGAGAATCAGACTAGACTGTAAGCTTTTGGGGCTGGAACAGTCGCATGTATGTACACAAGGACGAGCGCAGTGGGGCCCTACGCTGGGAGCTACTGGAATGCAACTAAGGGAGGGATTTGCAAAGTGTCTAACTCCCCCTACAAGTCAATGGCAATCAGGCATTTAAAGGAGAGGTGGCCAGACTATGGTTTGTGAGCCATAGGGGGCTCTTTTACAGTTCAAGTGTGGTTCCTGAAGCCTACCATGCCCCCCCTTCTCCACCTAACAGACTGGTGGGGTGGGGAGCTCAGGGCTTCTGCCCTCTGGTGTGGTTCTGAGCTTCAGCCCTGCGAGGTGGGCCTGCTGGGCCCCAAGCCTTGGCAGGTGCCTTCCACGGGGCAGAAGTCTCACGCCCCACCACCTGCTGCAGGGCTGAAGCCCCAAGCCCCGGCAGGTGCTCTTGAGGTTATGAAGATTATCAGAGGGTCAGTAAGTTTGGCCACCCCGATCTAGAGTGTCAGATGGAAACAGGCCCAGTAGCTGTAACTGCCATGCCAAACACCAACACGCCCAGCAGAGATGCTTCTCTTCTGCAGTAGGAAGCAGGGCTCACCAGCAGTGTTCCCTCAATTTTTTTATGTCCACGTGCGGAGTGAATTTTGTTATGTGCACCAATATGGAGGTGATGTGTGACAAATCACCTCCATATTGGTACACATAACGAAATTCATGTGATGGGAGTGGGGCCGAGGGATTTGGAGTGTGGGAGGGGGCTCAACGCCAGGGCAGAGGGTTGGGGTGTGGGAGGCGGGGTGGACTCTGGGGTGGGGCCAGGGATGAGGGGTTTGGGATGCAGGCTGCCCCAGGGCTGCAGTGGGGAGAGAGGACTCCCCCCAGCCCTCTTTCATGGCAGCAGATCGGGGCCAAGGGAGAAGCGCCTCTCCGCAACTGCAGAAGCTCCAGCTGGGCTGGGCCAAGAGAGGGGCTCCTCTCACCAGTGGCTCTGGTGGGCCTGGGGAGGGCCAGGGGCTCCTCTCTCCGAGCCACAGCAAGTCCGGGACAGGTCTGTGCTGGGGCCAGCAGGAGGGGTGCCTCTCCCCGCCACGGTAGGTCTGCACTACTTGCCTCCAAGGAAGCCTTACTAGCCAAGAGCAGTTTGAAGAGACAATGAACTTGCATGGTCCATATGAAGTCAGCAGATCATGTGCACCCCAACCCCTACTTAGCAATGCCTCTCAGTCAAGGATCATTCACAACAGCTACATCCAGTTCAGATGGGGCCAGTACTGCTGCACCTAGAAGCCCCACTATGCTAGCAGCTTACAGACAGAAGGTCCAATCCTCAGGAGAGGATGAGTCCTCTGCCCGGGACTCCTCTCAGATGATAGGGAAGGTGCTATTTTGATAGTGGGGTTTTTAGAGAAGTGTGAAGGGGACTCACTTTGCAATAATCGACTTAGTCTGGTCCCGGGCGATTCCAACGTAGTGATCGATTTGCGTCTAAGGAAGAACCAATGGGTTAGGACAGCTGGAAGGGGTAGTAGTAGACAGACAGCAGTAGTGCTTCCCTTCATAGTTCTCTGAATGGCTGCCTCAGTTTACCTTTTAAGGCCAGATGGGGCCATTACAATCAACCTGAACTCTGTAACATAGCTACCAACTTAGCATAACAAACTTTAGCTAGGACCATGGAGACTCCTGATATGTCTGCATTTCTCTTCTAACAGAGCTACTGCCTTAAATTCACATGCATCACATGGAATTCTGACAAAGTCCATTGCAGGGTATTTTTACAGTGTTTGGAGGAGGATCCAGTGCCTCAGGCATCTGCTAGCTAAACAAGCTGCTAAACGATGCGTGTGG